TTAGTCATTCTGTCATCTCATTGTAGTTTTATTTTGCATATTTTCAAAGCTTTCAAAGGTGGAGTATCTTTTGAAATGTTAAATGGTGTATTGGATTTTCTGTTTTATGAGAGTCTCTCATAATGTTTAAATCTCTGGCCTCTTTTACTATTGAGTTATCTGTCATTTCCTTTTAGATTTGAGTTAGGAGTCCCCAAGACCACCCTTAGGCTCGATGATTCACCAGGAGGACTCACAGGCCTTAGAAAAAGTTATACTCATTGTTATAGTATATTACAGGGAATGGATACAGATTAAAATCAGCAAAGGTAGAGCCAGCCCTGATGGCCTAGTGGTTAAAGTTCAGCACTCACCGCTTCGGCAGCCTGGGTTTGCTTCCCAATCACAGAACCATACCACCTGTCTGGCAGTTGCCATGCTGTGGCAGTGGCTCACATAGAAGAAGTAGAACGACTTAACAACTAACACATACAACCATGTACTGGGGCTTTGGGGAGGAAAAAAAAAGAGGAAGATTGTCAACAGATGTTAGCTCAGGGCAAATCTTTCCCTGCAAAAAAAAAAAAAAAAAAAAAAAATCAGCAACGGTAAAGACACCCAAAGTGAAGTCTAAGAGAAACCAGGCATAAGCTTCCAGATGGCCTCTTCTTGTGGATTTACATGCAGATGTGCTTAATTCTCCCAGCAATGACGTGTGCAGACACGTAGGCATGCAGCACTGGCAGGACTGACCTCAGCTACTCAGACTCCAGCCCCCAGAGCAAAACAGGCATTCACCTGTTCACACAAACTGTCTGGTCAAACTGGTACCACACGGCCAAGTCCTCAGGTCTGCAAAGACACTCTTATCAGGCAGAATTTCCCAGGCTCAGAGTTCAGCTAACCCTGAAGACAATCCTTTCTAGAAATGTGCAGAGTTTGTGCACCCAGGCCTGCTGAGGTAACCCTTTCCCATACAGACATGTAGAAATTATTTGTGTATTATAGATCAGAGTCCATTATGTGTTATAATTGTTATCTCCCACTATATGACTGGCTTGTTATTATCTTAACTGTTTTAGTAAGCAAAAGTCCTTCATTTTCATATATAAGTTTATTAATCTTTCATTTTGTGTTTAGTTTTTTTTTGTACCCTGCTTAAGAAATCTTAACCTACTTTAAGATTATGAAAATATTATCTCATGATTCTTTCTAAAAGCTTTATTGTCTACCTTTCACTTTTAGATATACCTGAAACTGATTACTGTGCATGGTATGAGGTAAGAGTCAAGTTTCTTTATTCTTCTATTTGGATATTCAAGTGATTCAGCATCATTGTTGAAAATACCATCTTTTTTTTTTCCAATTGCCTGCAGTGCTACTTTTGCCATAAATAAAATGTCCATATATGTGTGGTTCTGTTTCTGAACTCTCTATTCTGTTCCATTGGCCAATAAATTCCTATATTAATTATTGTGGCCTCATAATGAGTCTCAACACATAGTAGAATGTAGAGTAGAGTGAGTAGAGTGAGTCCTGTCATTTTGTTCTAATTAGTCAAGAGTGTTTTGGTTATTCTTGACATTTTTAATTACATGTAATGTAATTGGTACAGCCCTTTGCTAAGTTTCTTTTTATGTTTCCTCCAGAAGCAGAGATCACCAGATGATCACACCATTGAACCTAATTTCTTCATCTTTGCATCAACAGGGGCATATTTGGCCACGAACAAATCAGTACCAGGAAGAGAACTAAACTGGACCAAGGATCAGACATAATCTGGAACCAAATTAGAATAAGAAGTAGAAAACAGAGGGGTGAGGGGAAAAGAGAAAGAGAAAATTCTATTGCTACGTAAGAATCACCTTGGAAAACTAGGAAAAGGCTTTCCTTGGGGCAAGGGGCCAATGGAAGATTCACTTGTATACTGCAGCTTTGTCAACTATGGTGGGTGAGTCCTCCGGACGTGTATGGATGGATAACTCAGAGAGAAGTGATATTAAAAAAGAAAATTAAGAGCTTTCTTTCAAAGAGTTGCAAGGAGACAGACTTGAGAAGGCCTGGCTTACCAAATAAGAAATATAAGTATCTAAAAAGAGAAAAACACAAGATTACAATGCTTATAATCGTTACATTAGCCATTCCTGCTGGTAAAACAGCAATGTTCTCACGTAATTATCATATTCACAAAGATTGTGACATTTATTCAGACAACAGTTACTATAGAAGTCAGGAATAAAGATTTTTTTTTATCCAGAGTCAACAATTCATAAGAGAAGCTCCAGGTTACATTTATTTTGAGAACCACAACTGGACCCAATTCTTCCTTGTTTCCTCAGGGTGCAAAATCACTTTTTTCTTCTTTTTGATCATGAAATTGTACTATATGTGTTTATTGACAATGGTGGCAGGGCTGAGTGGCAGTTTTGATTCCACACTGGTCCATATTAATACAACAGTTTTTTGAATTGACCTTAAATCAAAGCAACGTTGCTAAACTCACTGATTAATTTTAATAATTTATATGTAAATTCTTTTCAATTTTCTATGTATTCAATCATATTAACTGAGAGCAATAAGAGTTTTGTTTTTCTTTTTACTAGTCTTCATACTTCATACATCTGTTTCCAATACTTGCCATATTGCACTAGCTAAATCTATACTGCAGTGTTGACATGAATGGTGATGGGGACGTGATTGTCTATCCCAGTCTCAGCAGGAAAACTTTTGATTTTTCATCAATAACTCTGATGTTTCTTGTAAGTTTTGTTCTAAATACTCTTTATGAGGTTAAGAAACTTTATTCTTACTTCAAGAGTTATTATAAACAGAGTTTAAATTTTGCCAAATTATTTTCAGCATCCGTTAAAATGATTATATAGCTTCCCCCGTCTTATACACTTAATATGGTGAATTTCATAGACTAGTGATTAAATGTTCAGGCATTCCTGCTTTTTCTCCCTTGAGCAAATACCTGAGAGTGGAATGGCTAGGAAACATGTTATTTTTAACTTGATTATAAATTGCCAGTCTGTTTTTGCAGAATGGTTGCACCATTTTCATTCCCACCAGCAATGTATGAGAGTTCTAATTATTCTACAATCTTGCCAATACTTAGTAATGCCTCTCTTTTAATTTGTTGTTCCAGTGACTATTAAAGGATATTTTATGTTGTTTTAATTTGTATTTCTCTGATAACTAGTGATGCGGAACATCTTTTCATAGGCTCCTAGACCATTATTTTTTTTCTCCCAGCTTTACTGAGACAGCATTGACAACAATAATATATATTTAAGGTGTACAATGTGATGTTTTGATACACATACATTGTGATATGATTAGCACAATCAAGCTAATTAACATGACCTTCACCTCACATAGTTACCTGTTTGTGTGTGTGGTAAGAACATTGGAGATCTACTCTCTCAGGAAATTTCAAATATACCTTATTATTAATTATAGTCACCATGCTGTACATTAGTTCTCTAGAATTTATTCATCTTCATTATTCATTATTCATAACTGACAATTTATTTACTTTGACCAACATCTCCTCATTTCCTCCAGCCCCATCCCCTAGTAACCACCATTTTACTCTATTGCTATGAGTTTGACTTTTTCAGATACCACATATAAGTGAGATCATACAGTATTTGTCTTTCTCTGAATGGCTCATTTCATTTAGCAAAAAGTCCTCCAGGTTCATCCATTTGTTGCAAATGGCAAGATTTTCTTCTTTTTTAAGGCTGAAAAGTATTCCAGTGTGGGTGTATGTATCACAATGGTATCTTCTTTCTCCATTCATCCTTGATGGACACTTAGGTTGTTTTCATATCTTGGCTACTGTGACTAATGCTTCAAAGAATATGGGAGTGCAGATATCTCTTCAAGATAGTGATTTTATTTTCTTTGGATATACACCCAGATGTGAGATTGCTAGATTATATGGTAGTTTTATTTTTAATAACCTCTATACTGTTTTCTACAGTGGGCTATACCAATTTACACCCACCAACAGTGCATAAAAGTTCCTTTTCTCCACATGCTCACCAACACTTACGTTTGACTTTTTGATAATAGTCATCCTAACAAGTGGGAGGTGATACCTCATTGTGGTTTTGATTTGCATTTCCCTGATGATTGGTGATGTTGAACACTTTTTCATATACCTGTTCCATTGGCCATTCTTACATCTTCTTTTGTGAAGAATCTGTTTAAGCCTTTTGCTCAATTTTTATTTGGTTACTTGTTGTCTTCTTATTGAGTTGTAAGAGTTGTTATTATTATTATTATTTGATGAGGAAGATTCTCCCTGAGCTAACATCTGTTACCAATCTTCTTTATTTTATTTATTTATTTTTTTTGGCTTGAGGTTAATTAGCCCTGAGCTAACATCTGTGCCAGTCTTCCGCTATTTTGTATGTGGGTCACCACCACAGCATGGCTGACTAGCGGTGTAGGTCTGTACCCAGAGTCTGGACCCACCAACCCAAGGCTGCCGAAGCAGAACACACCAAACTTAACCACTACACCACGGGCTAGCCCCAAGAGTTATTTTTATAAATTAGAGATAAACATCTTTTGTCAGATATATTTGTTGTAAATATTTTTTTCCCCAATCAGTGGCTTGTCTGTCATTCTCTTAAGTGTCATTTGATGGGCAGAAGGTTTTAATTTTTTTATAATACATGCTCATATTTCTTTGAAGAAAAAAAACACCTTTCTCAAAAAGCCATCTCTTGCAATTGAAAATGTTTAATTAAGATTTTTGTTTCTTCTTTTGGTTATTTACATTCTATTTAGAAACTCAGCAGACTTCTTTGGGCTGAGTTATAATCTGCCTTTTCCCCTGATATAATAAATGCTACTGATTTAATAAATGGAAAGTCTAGGGACAATGAAAAAACTATAGAGAAAAACTATAGACTTTATTTAAATAACTGGAAAAAATACAACATAAGAAAAAATAATTGGATTTTAATAGAAATTCTATAGATCCTTCAACAGAGTACCACGGTTCTTTATAGATGGCCTTGGATAATATCAATGATTTCACGGTAAACTTGATGATATACGTCTAATCCAAACAAAAAGTCTATATGATTGTAGTAAGAAATTGTTTTATGGTAAATATGGTTTGTGATTTCAGAAAGTAAAATTTTAACATCTTCAGGATCAGCCAACAAGTCACTTTCACCATTCCAAGTTGCAGTTGACACATTCATTTTTGTCACATTGTACAATGGAGAAGTTGTCTAAATATAAATGAGTAAAAATAAGTGTTTTCACAGGGAATGATACGTAAAAGATGTTATTTTCTAAATCTTTAGATGATGAATCAAAATACTGTTTAAAATAAGCTGAATGTAAAATAAGTATTACCATGGAAGCAAAGAGTCTAAAAGAATAAGAAATATAATTTTTTTGTAGGACTAAGTCAGATATAAATCAAAACTGGATAGTTTATACTAAATCAGATTATTTGAACATTCCACAGAGGTAATTTCAGTTTTATTTATAAAGCATGGAAGTATTTTAATCAAAATTTTATGTGGCTGTATAACTGTCAATATGTTTATCAATAAATGATCAATATTGGCAGTAAAGATCAAATCTGATTTTATTGAATTTGACCTTTGTATTTTACTTTAGACTTTTATACGAGCAAAACACATCAGACTTGGAGTTGGGCTGAGGCAGAAAAGTATGGTGTAAAAGCGTAAATTTTAAATGAGACAAACTTGGGTTCTAATACTTCAAATCTTTTGTCATCAAACTCATACAATTTTTACCCCCTTCTCATTAACTTCTACTTTTTCCTAATTATTGTATGTGTTTGATTATCTTCCCAAATATAATAATAGTTTTAAGGTCAGGAAATATATTATGCCTTTTATTTCTTATTTAAGCAAGCACAGAACTGAGCACATTATAAACACAGTATTTTTCCTCTTGAGGGATGATGAATTATTCTTTTGGCTGTCAACTTCTCCAGGCTTATCCAAAATATGTATTGTTAAAATACATAGAAAACATGGAAAAGCCACATTGGTTGGACGTGACAATATGGATCCAAATCAACATGATCTTCATCTACTGGTCCTTCTCGCTGTATTGTACTCTCGGGCGTTAGAGATGAGCCAATACCTATAGCAAAATCATCTGAACTGATCAAGAAGATAGTTTTTGGGTTATACATAATTATGTACCTGGTTAAAATGAATCAAGTTCAGAACAGGACTGCCCCAGTCAAAAGCTTTCAAGCGACTAGAATTAAAAAGCTGAAAGGAAAATTAAAAAGTAAGGCTATACTCATTTGTTCATTACAGTAACAGCTGATACAGGTTAGGTACACATTGCATATATATGTCCCCTTTGTCCTGGGCCTGCTGGTATATGCAGAGGTGGGCTTTTTGCTCCTCCCTTCCTTTGGATAGGGTAAGAAATGGAAGAGGTGAGAGGCAGACAGAGGAATCTATAGAATATAATTCTATTGTCTTCATGTAAATGCACATCTCTCCAAGGCCTTTTATTACCCAAAGGGGGCCTGTGTGTTTGGAGTAACATCAGGCTTCCCCAGAAATCACTAAGATGAGGTCAAGAGAGAGTGTCCTGCACTAGGACTAAGATGACACTTCCCTACATACCTTGGCTTCAAACAGCAGTGTTCAAGATTGTGTCCCAGAAGCCATCCCTTACTCGCAGCCTCACCACCACTATCTACTTTGAGTCTATTAAGTATAATCTGATTATGTCCATTTTGTCCCCTGATTATGTTTTCATCACAAGAAGGTTCAGACTCTCAGATTACCCATCTTCTCTGGTACTCTAAATCTTATAAGGTACCATTCATCCTCTATTCTTTCTCCTCCCAACTCTCTTCAACTCCTAAAATTCTCTCTACCATCTGGAATTCCATCATCATTCTTTATCTTAAAACTCTTCTCTGCGTGGCCCCTTCACCTTCTTGCTCTATTGACAATTTGATTTTCCCTGAGAGCACTTCTTCCCTGCAGCTCTTTCAAGCAGCACTACTTTTTTGTCCCATATACCAGGTATCATTGGTCCGGGGGTTAGATTATCTCCTTTGTTCCTCGTACATTTTTCCAGACAATACTGACTTCCTCCTTCCTTAAACTCCAAGCTTTGAATGGCATGTCATTCAATTACATCATCCACTATCCTTTACTGCTGCTGTCATCTACTAAACTCCAGATTGTTCTGTTGAGTTCCTGCTCATTGTCTCTCTCTCTAAAACTATTCCAGCCTTGATATTTAGTGATTTGTTCATTCTAGCAGCTTGTCCTTGGAGTTCCTTGAACTATCCTTCTCCAGTGATTTTATCCTCCACCCTTCACCAATGACTGACCCTGTGAATATACACCCTTTCATTACCACAATCCCTCCATCGTGTGTTATGCATCCCACTTTCTGAACATTATCTGTTGTCTTTCCAGCTAATTCTCTCTAGTATCTCAATTTCAAAAATCCTTCAACTCTGTCAGGACCTTGAATTCATTCATCCTTCTAACTTTTTATTCCCTCAATGTCCTTTCTTCCCAACATATCTAGCTGAAATCCCACAGTCAATCATTAAAATTACTCACATTTCCTCAACACCTCTCCACTTCTATTTCCTACTTGCTTCAAAAAAAAAAACAGCTCCGGAAACATCAAATTATCCACCTACTATATGCCCATACTAATGAGACTGAAGAAAAATGGAGAAAAACTCAAAACTATGCTGTGCTATTGAATCTACTTTAAATTTAAATTTATCCCATTTAAATTTACAAACCTCATGTAGGCCATTAATTTTGCCTAGCACTCATGCCACAATTCCCTAATCCATTTTCTCTCCCAGGCTTCTAGGTAATTATGTATAGTTTCTCCTGTCTCCACTGGCCGCCACTATACTTTCTTTTAGTAAACCAAGCTTCCTATTTTAGTAAAAAGACTGAAGCAATCAGAAAACATCTGAGTCCCAAAACTTGCACTACATCAATATACTTACCAGCAAATGAACCCATACATATCCTTTCTTCCAATTTTGTCTTTATATACATTATCTATGCACCTAGTTACAGCCTCTCTCTTACTTCTTTACTAGATGTTATCTATCCCAACAACATACTCCTTTCTCTTCTACTTCATAATTTTCCCCTCTCTACTAAGCCGTTTTCATTAATATAATAACATGCTGTTATTTCTATCATGTAATAGATAGATAGATAGATAGATAGATAGATAGATAAACAGATAGATAGATAAAACTCCCTATTTCCCACCAGAGCTCTTGATCAATATATTTGCTTTCTTTGCAGCAAAATTCCACAGAAGAATTCTCACTATTTCCACTTTCTCTGCATCCATCATCTTTTTTCTTAATTATGGCAAAATACAATTAAAATAAAATTTACCATTTTAACCATTTACAGTGTACAATTCAGTGACATTTGTTGACAATGCCGTGCAACCATCATCCAATCATTTTTTAAATTCACTCTAATTAATCTTACATCTCCACCATGGGGTGGTGGAGCCCACTCATATCAGCAAGAGCAAATTGTGGGCATCTCTTCCCAACTCTATGTACAGTGGCACCACATTAGTAGCATGAAATCAACCAAAGATTTGAAATCAGAATCTAACCATTTTTACCACCTCTACTGGCAACACCTCAGTGCAAGCCATCATCATTTCTTGTTTGGATTACAGTAGTAATCTCTTAACTCTCTCACTGCTTCTGCCCTTGCCACCCTACAGTCTACTTAACATAGCAGCCAAAGTATCCCTTTATAAATGTAAATCATATCATGTCACCTCCCAGCTCAAAAGCCTGCAGTGGCTACCCACTTTAGACAGAGTGAATGCCAAAGGTCTTATGATGGCATAAAGGTTCCTTTCTGGCTCCCTGTTACTTTTCTGCCCCTTTTCCTACAACTTTCTCCCTTAATGACTCCCTTCAGCCACACTGGCCTCTTAGTTGTGCCTCTCAGAAATGCTCCTGACTAAGAGCATTGCATTGGCTATTCCCTCTATCTGGAATGCTCTTCTTCTAGATGTTCAGATTGCTAACCTTCTCGTCTCCTTTAAATCTTTTCTCAAATGTCACCATCTCATTGAGGCTTTGGCCTAGCCTCTCTATTCAAAAGTACAACCCACTACCAAGCATGCCTAATCCCTTTTCCCTGCTTCGTTTCCCCCAATTTTTTCACAGCTTCTACCCTTTCCTAAATTTTAATAATTTACTTATTTGCTGTGCTTATTGGTTATCATCTGTATATCTACTACTAGAATGTAAGCTTAAGGAAGACAGGAATATTTATTTCATTCACTGATGAATACTGTTCTATGATGAGCATAGAATAGTACAGGGCACACAGCAGGTAGTCAATAAATATTGTTACAATGGATGGATAAATGCAAAACTTGCTTAGATTTTTTTGGTCTAGTTCTCATCAGGAATAAACTAAACCTAAAGATGTTATAATAAAGATTTTTAATAATTTACCTCAAAACAATTACTTAGTAGATTTAAACATTTTTTAAATGAGAAAGCACTTAACCGATATCTTAGTAATACTTTAAATTTATCTAGTGTTCATTAACCTTAAAGAACACTCATAATCATCATTCTATTCAATTGTCATAATATTTTTGTTAGGTCAAAGAATTATTATTAATTCCATTTTAAAAATAGAGGAAACTGAATTCCTAAAGGTTAAACAAGCTGCTCAATGTCACACTGCCAGTAAGGTGCAAAGGAAGGATTTAATATCTGGTATTTTGATCTCAAGCATAGTGTTCTTTCTACAACACCATCTTGGCTCTCAATATTAAAATGATATTCGCACAGGATTTTTTCTCTTTATCAATATTCATTTAATAAATATTTTTGAATATTTATGATATGCCAAAAACTCTTGGCCTTGTAAATACAAAAGTGAACAAAATTTCCTCCTGGTCCTCCAGGAGCTCACAATTTAAAGAGGAGAAAGTGTAAAGACAAGGCATCAGGAGACCTGTGTTCTAGTCTTAGTTTTTTTTAAAGGAAGAGCTTTGAATCTTTGAGCAAGTCAAATGACGAACATGGCCTAGATGATCCCTCGTCTGTTCCGAATTAACACTTTCTCATTTGAAACACAGAAAATAATTATATTGCTCTGATCACTGCTTAGGTTTAGAGGATCTAAGAGATTATGATATAAATACATATTGTAAACTATAAAGAATTATACAAATATGTAATAATTTCATTTTATCCTTCTAAACTTATCATTCTATGTCAATGGCATGATCCCTAGAATGATGAGGTAAACCTTGAGTAGTATAAACCGAATTATATTGAAATGCACTTTAAAAGTTATACCTGACTCCAGTGGAGCATATTTTGAACAGATGTTCCTGCTGGGTTATGTGTCATATACACATCCACACGACTCTGAGGGGTTTAAAAAAATTATTTTTATACTTAGCCCAACCAGAGAAAGCATTATCTTTGATATTTATTGAACTAAACAATTCTAAGGAAATTTTGAGTTAATTTTTAATGAATAATATTAGCAAAAAAGAAACAAAATTATATTTTAATTAAACACATAAATGTACTTATTAAGTGTACAATTTTTGCACTAATATAGACTCTATTGTTGGATTTCTAAATTATGTGGTCCCTTACCCTATACTGAAAACAATAAAAAGTGATGGAGCATACACACACAACCCTTTTAAAAGCACTAAAGAACTGACAAGATAGAAAAAATTACCAGGATAAATGAAAGAGAAAAAACAAAGAACCCCAAAACAAGAAGCAAAGTACTAAAGCCACTTTTTCCTTATGGTTATTTGCCAATCCCAGAGAATTGAAGTTTCATTTTAAGAATTCAGCTAGTTGAGGTAAACAAAAGTCAAAGCCCAGAGCCTAACAAGGGCAATTAAAAGATTTAAAAAGAAACCTTCTCTGTGGTAAACTGGGGTCCCATGTTCTGTACTACTCAAAGTGAAGCTGAATCAAAAGTATAGCAGCCTTCATGTCAATCTGTGTAATCTAGGTTTGCGTTGCCTATGTTCCTCCCTGGGAACCTCAATCAGTGAAGAAGACATATAGTGTCAATATAATCCCTATTAAAATCTCAGCAAGTTATTTTAAGGATATCGACATTTGCTTCTAAAGTTTATGTGGAAAGGCAAAAACTCAGAATAGCCAACACAATATTGAAGGGGAGGGACAAAGATGGAGGCCTGACATGACTCAACCTCAAGACTTACTATAAAGCTATAGCAATGAAGACAATGTGATAGTGGCTAAAGAATAGACAAATAAATCAAATGGAAAAGAATAGAAAGCCCAGAAATAGACCCTTATGTATATAGTCAACTGATCTTTGACAAAGTAGCAAAGGAAATGCAATAGAAAAATGAGAGTCTCTTCACCAAATTGTTCTGGAAAAACTGGACATCCACATGCAAACAAACAAAAAAAATGAATCTAGACACAGACCTTACATCCTTCACAGAAATTAACTCAAAATAGGACACAGATCTAAGTATAAAACCTAAAACTATAAAACTTCTAGAAGATAACATAGGGTTATCTTCTAGATGACCTTGAGTATGGTGATGACTTTTTAAATGCAACACCGAAGGCACAATCTGTGAAATAAATAATTGATAAGCTGGACTTCATTAAAATTAGGAACTTCTACTCTGCAAAAGACAATATCAAGAGAAACAGAAGACAGGTCACAGACTGGGAGAAAATATTTGCAAAAAAATATCTGATAAAGGACTGTTACCCAAAATATACAAAGAATTCTACAAACTCAACAATAAGAACCTGATTAAAACAACCTGATTAAAAAATGGGCCAAAGACCTTAACAGACACCTTTTCAAAGAAGATATCCGGACGGCAAATAAGCATACGAAAAGATCCACATCATATGTCATCAGAGAAATGCAAATTAAAACAACCATAAGATACCACGACATACCTACTAAAATCACAAAAATCCAAAACACTGATAACACCAAATGCTGCCAAGGATATGGAGCAACAGGACCTCTCACTCACTGATGATGGGAATGCAAAATGGTACAGCCACTTTGTAAGACACATTGGTGATTTCTCACCAAACTAAGCATACCTTTATGGTATGATCCAGCAATCACACGCCTTTGTATTTACCCAAAGAAGCTGAAAACTTACTTTCACAAAATAATCTGCACCCACATGTTTATAGCACCTTTATTCATTATTGTCAAAACTTGAACCAAAATATCCTTCAATAGGTGAAGGTAAACTGTGGTACATCCAGACAATAGAGTATGATTCAGCACCAAAAGGAAATGACTATCAAGTCATGAAAAGACATGGAGGAACCTTAAATGCATATTACTAAGTGAAAGAAGCCAATCTGAAAAGGCTACAGACTAAATGATTCCAACTATATGACATTCTGGAAAAGGCAAAACTATGGAGACTGTCAAATAATCAGTGGTTGCAGGGAGTTGGGTGGGGAGGGATGAATAGGCAGAACACAGAGATTTTTTAGGGCAGTGAAACTATCCTGTATGATACTATAATGGTGGATACATGCCTTTTACACTTGTTAAAACCCATAGATTGCAGAACACCAAGAGTGAACCTTAATGTAAACCATGAACTTTGGGTGGTAATAATATGTCATGTAGGCTCATCAATTGTAACAAATGTAATACTCTTGTGAGGGATATTGATAGTGAGGCAGACTTTGCATGTGTGGAGCAGGGAATTTATGCTCAATTTTGCTTTGAATCAAAAACTACTCTAAAAAATAAAGCCTATTTTTTTAATGAATACAAAATAAACACTTTTTCAAATACAAGATCTTGGAAAATTCATTGCCAGAAGACATGTCTTTTAAGAAATGATAAAGGAAGTTCTTCATGCTGAAATGAATGATCACAACAGGCAGTACAGAAGTTAATAAGAAATGAACAGTATCTTAACTGCTAAATATAAGTAAATAGAAAAGACTATTGACCTTTTAAAGTATTAATATTAATGTTTTGTTAGATTTATGACATGTTAGGTAATGACATTGATTAAAAATATATGACAGCAATAGCAAAAAGTGTAAGAAGTTAAAAAGAGCTAAATTGTTGTAAAGCTCTGGTAATATTTAGGATGTGAATATAAATACTAATTTAATGTGGATAATAACAAGGTAAAGGATACATTTTGTAATTTATAAGGTAGTAATAAAGAATATTTCTTAAAGGTGAAAAAAATGTTAATAGAGGAGATAAAATGGAATAATAAAAAGTATTTGAATAGAATATAGAAGAAGTCAAGAACTGTGGAATAAAAAGAACATCAATAGAACAAATAAAAAGCATACAGCAAGATGACAGCCATAAATCTAATCTTATCAATAATTATACAAAAATAAATTTACTAAGTATTCCAATTAAAAGATAGAGATTGTCAGGATAGATTAAGAAAATATTATGAATACTATTTTTAAACATATAAAAGACAAACTTTAAAGTATCTTCAAGGAAGAATGAAAAAAAAATTGATCCATCAGATTGAAACAAAAAATTAAAATTACTAATAAAAAACAAAATACTTAAAATTTAAATTCCCTTGAATGCATACAGATTAGACATAACTTAAGAGAGAATGATTGAGGTCAGAAGAAATGATTCAGAAAGCAGCAAACAAAGACAAAAATGGAAAATATAGATAAGTCGAGACATATGAGAAAATGGGAAAAAATATCTTTAACTGGAGTTCTGGAAGTAAAATGAGATGGAGATAATACAAAAATAAAATGTTTAAGGGGCTGGCCAGGTGGCACAAGAGGTTAAGTGCACGTGCTCCACTTCGGCAGCCCAGGGTTTGCAGGTTCAGATCCCAGGCGTGCACTGACACACCGTTTGTCAAGCCATGCTGTGGTGGCATCCCATATAAAGGAAAGAAAGATGGGCACAGATAATAGCTCAGGGCCAATCTTCCTCAGCAAAAAAAGAGGAGGATTGGCATTGGATGTTAGCTCAGGGCTGATCTTCCTCACACAAAAATAAATAAATAAAAAGTAAAATAAAATGTTTAAGAATGTTTAATGATGGATGAAAGATATAAATCTACAGATTCAAGAATCCCAATAGGGGATGGCCTGGTTGCATAGTGGTTAAGTTCACGCACTCTGCTTCAGCGGCCCGGGGTTCACACATTCAAATCCTGGGCACAGACCTATGTACCAGCGATCAAGCCATGCTGTGGCAGCATCTCACATATAAAATAGAGGAAGATGGGCACAGATGTCAGCTCAGGGCCAATCTTCCTCAGCAAAAGGAGGAAGATTGGCAACAGATGTTAGCTCAGGGCTAGTCTTCTTCATCAAAAGAAAAAAAAAAGAATCCCAATAAATACCAAGAAGGATAAGTTTTTAAAAATCCACACCTAGAAATCTAATTGAAACTGCAGAACACTAAAAATAAAATCATAAAAACAAGCGAAAAGAACAGATTACTGTCAAAAAAAGGAAAAAACAGCCTTCAGATTGAAAACTAACTTGACATCATCAATAATGAAAGCCAACAGTAATGAAAATTATATCTTTTCATGTGCTGGAAAAAAATAACAGTCAACCTAGAATTGTATAGGTATGAAAATATCTTTTTAAAAGGAGAGTAAAATAAAGTTATTCTTAGACAATCAAAATCTGATTGAATTAGCTGCCAATAGACCTTCATTAAAGGAAATTCTCAAGGAAGCACTGCAGGGAGAAGGAATGAAGGTCAAAATCTGGGTCTAAATGAACATTATCTATATATGTAATAACGTGGTGATGTTTAAAAATAGGATAGAATTAAAATATATTCTTTGGTGAGGTGTGTGTTAAGGTCTTCGGTCCATTTTTTAATCAGGTTGTTTGTTTTCTTATTGTTGAGTTTGAAGAGTTCTTTGTATATTTTAGATATCAGTCCTTTATCCAATGTGTCATTTGCAAATATTTTCTCCCAGTCTGTGGCCTGTCTTCTCATTCTCTTGATATTGCCTTTTCCAGAGTAGAAGTTCTGAATTTTAATGAAGTCCAGTTTTTATTTCATGGATTGTGCCTTTGATGTTATATCTAAAAAGTCATCACTGTACCCACTAATCTTTAGAAGCAGTTTGTAGATATCCATAAAACAACTTGCTCGGATTTTGATTGGGGCTTCTTTGAATCTACAGATCAAGTTGGTAAGAATGGATATCTTGACAATATTGAGTCTTCCTATCCATGAACATGGTATATCTCTCCGTTTGTTTATTTGATTTAATAATCAGAGTTCTGTAGTTTTCCTCAGATAGATCTTATTCATCTCTTGTTCGATTTATACCTAAGTATTTCATTTTGGGGGGTGTAGTGTAAATGGTTTTGTGTTCTTAATTTCAAATTCCACTTGCTCATTGCTGGTATATAGAAAAGCAACTGCCATTTGTATATTAACCCTATATCCTGCAACCTTGCTATAATTGCTTTTTAGTTCCAGGATGGTTATTTTGTTGATTCTTTCAAATATTCTACATATATGATCATATCATATCATCTGAGAATGAAGACAATTTTATGCCTTCCTTCCCAATCTGTATACCTTTTCATTTCTTTTTCTTTCCTTATTTCATTAGCAAGCACTTCCAGTATGAAGTTGAAAAGGAGTGGTGAGAGGGAACAAACTTTCCTTGTACCTGATCTTAGTGGGAAAACTTCAAGTTTCTCACCACTAAGTATGATGTTAGCTGCAGGTTTTCTGTATATATTATTTATCAGGTTGAGCAAGTTCCCCTCTATTCCTAGTTTACTGAGGGTTTTTATCATGAATGGGTTTGGGATTTTTCAAATGCCTTTTCTATCTCTATTGATATGATCATGTGATTTTTCCTTTTAGCCTGTAGATTACATTAATTGATTTTTGAATGTTGAACCAGCCTTGCATACCTAGGATTTTCTTCCTATATTTTTACAAATTCTCTAGTTGTTTATGCTCAGAGGATAATTCAAGACTCTGTTACTCACTCATGGCCAGAAGTCAAAGTTCTCATAATGTATTTTTAATTGTTATATCACCTCTTTTAAAGTTCTTGCCATTTCGCTACCTGGGGGCTTAAAAGAAAATTTCTTTTTTTTCCATTGCAATTCAGAGCACTTGAAATAGGCAACAGTAAAGTGACAGAAAATTTAAAATGGCTTGTATAGAACTTTTTAACAGAAGCATTCTACAACTTAAACTTAGGTTTTCACTGGATCCTCTAATTCTTCCTTGCGCTTAAAATAATCTCCTATAAAATGTTTATCCTGGATGGCATATTCCAGATATTCCTTGCATTAGGGTATCATTGCTATTTACCCTAATGTCAGTCAGAGGCTTACTCAACTCAAAAAATCTTGTCCTATTAACCCTTCTGGAGGAAGACACTTGCTTACAAGTAGCTTTCAAAATTGCCCATCACGCCTATCTATGAGATCTGAGACATTTATCAGTCTCTATTTCAAGTTTATCAGAGTGATAAGAAGGAATCCACTCCCTAAAGGGACTCAAATCATAACCACACACCCTTGATAACTGTATTCAGATACCTCAGGCTCATTTCTAACATTTATAAGTGTTAGAATTAATTTTGTGAACTCTTATCAAAGAATCATAAGAATTGGACAAAGTCAGAATTCTGGGTTGTTTGATGGTACATTTTCCAAGTTACATTGGTGAGAGTTTTTGCCACCTTTTCCCCCTTGCATCATAGCTTACTTTCAGTTCTCTTACTTGGTTTTCCACATCTGAGTGACACTAGCCTGATGCCACTCACTGCCTTTTTACAAACTGCAAGATTCTCTTTTTGTTTTTCATACTGTCTATAGGAAAGAAATTCCAAATCTGACTCTACCTTCCCCACAGATCTTGATAGGCTCAAGAGGACTGAGTCAAACTGAACTATACTGTCACTCTTAATGTTCTCCACACTGTGTGTGAAATTTTTCCACATCAAACTTTCCACGATCCCAGATAACTTGGGACACAACCATACTACAACCTATGACACTGTCAACTTTTGTCCCAGAAAGGAGACCCACAAATTTAAAGGCTAAGAAGTCAGAGTAGCTTTCCTAATAGTTCACAAAAAAAGGGTTCTCAAAGACACCACAGTATAATTACAGAAAATATAGCAGTGGCCAAATATACTATGAAAACATAAAATGAATGGATAAGACAAGCAAAATAACTATTATATTTATGATTCTTCCAGTCATTCCATGGTAGGTATATAACACTGGATGGACAGAAGAATATGAAAAAGAGGATATTAAAGTAGTCTTTTTTACCGTATGTGGCAGTAAAGTTGTTACACATTAGATAGAAGAACTGAGTTCATTTCTTCTATTATGAAGTGTTTCTTTCATATCTATTTAATTGTCTATATAGCCCTCTGAGATTGGGTAAGACCTTGAAGTTGAATAAAATCAACATATCTTGTGGTATGAAAATGTGTTTGGGAATTAAGAGAATATCTCTCTTTCTTTGAATGAATAAATTGGTTCTCATTGAGAAGTTCTTAAAACGTCCAGGTGCAGGAACCAACAACTAGACCAAACACCACAGCTGCTTCCACCAAATATGGATTTTTAATTTAATGTGCTAAAAGATCTTAGAATGGGGGTGGGCCAGTGGCATAGCAGTTATGTTCTCGTGCCCTGCTTCAGCAGCCTGGTGTTCGCGGGTTTGGATCCCGGGTGCCGACTGATGCACTGCTTATCAAGCCATGCTTGGTGGCATCCCAAACAAAGCAGAGGAAGGTGGGCATGGATGTTAGCCCAGGGCCAATCTTCCTCAGCAGAAAGAGGAGGATAGGCAACAGATGTTAGCTCAGGGCTAATCTTTCTCACACACACACACACACAAAAGTCTTAGAATGAATACCTACATCTTTTAGAAAATCTATACACAATAAATCCAAATGGCCTTGGTAATAGTATCTTGAGCATCCAAACACTTTCCCACTTGAGGAATTTTGATGAATGCCAGAGTATGTAAGATAATTGGCAGGCATTAATTCTAATTATGAAAGGATCAACAAGAAAGGAAAGGAGTGTTAGGACCCAGGATATAAGAGGAGAAGTTAGGGGAAACAAGTGAATAGAAGACGATATAAACACAAGAAACTTCAGGAAACTAACAGCCAGTAGCAAAGGCTAGTAAAGATACCCATCACAGCAGCTGCTCTCTGTTCTTTACAGAGAGTAAGACAAATATGGAAGCAAAGTAATCCCAGTATCCTAATGCAAATTAGTTTCACAATGTTGGTATAGTCACAAAATCAGAAAGGCTAAGAATCTAACTACTAGTATATATGAATAAATCATAAAATGACACACGAGGCATAAAATAATCACTATTAAGAGCTGCTTTCTAAAAATTGGCAAAATACATTTCAAATACAACTTGTTCTCACCATATTTAAGTTCTTCAGGTCATATCCAGTCATCATAAACAAGATATCACTGCAAATCTTATCAAAATTCTTTAGTGGACAAAGCTCTGAACCAACAAATCTTTTAAACGAAGTATTAGGTAAGAAGTCTTTGTTGCCAGAAAAAGCCTGTAAAATAAATTTACTTTATCCATATTTGGAAGATCAAAATAATTAATCAAGAAATGATGTGGTGAGTTCACTACCTTTACTGCCAAATGCCTTTCTCACAGTAGTTTAAAACATTTAAATTAAGGACAAAACTTGGAAGCAGGACATAGAGATGATTTGATGGCTGGATTTTTCTCACAATGAGATGTCCAAAGGTATCATAAGTAAAACCCTATTCCTTTGTAGAAAGAAAGGCAAGAATCCAGTGCAAATTCAATTAATACATGTGGCTGTGCAAACATAAGTCAAGACCTTTTATTTTTAAGGCACAGAATCATTGTCATTTGGGTTATCAACTACATAAAAGAAAGGAATAACATACCTTGATCACTGACTTCAACTTGTATGCCATTTTAATTAAAGTGCTTTTTGAGTATTTAATGGAAAAAACTGGTGCTAAGGCAAAAAATATTTTGATTCTTTCAGCTATCTTTGGTATTGTGGAAAATGTTATGAAAGCTAAAAGAAAATAAGATATAAATTATTCTTAAGCAATTACTAGCATGTAAGAAACGAAACCATGGCAAGTAAGAGTAAGTTCAATAGGCTCTGAAAAATTATTTTACTCATTAATTTCTTAATTAGTTCACTTATCAAACATTTATTGATCACCTAGTATGAGATATGCATATTGATCACAACATTATGCTGATTATTAGAATTAAAAACAAATGTATAGACCATAAAAGGTGATAATTTGGCAATAAATCAGTCTTGTGACACCATAGTTTAAAAATCAGAAACAATATTGGACATTCATTTAACTGGCCATGGTGAAAATGAGGTAAGTGAATTTTTCCGATAGATGAATCTTAAACTTTAGGTGAGAGATTCAATGTGTCAAATTGTTTTAATATTTACTTTTAATATATTTTAAAACTACTTTGCCTTCTTGTACAGAGGATACTAAACATTAGTTTCTATGGTGTTGATAGTTTAGAGTCATTAACATGACAAATAGTAGTTTTTCCCTTTTTGACATCTTATTGAGCTACCAACTTACACATCTTCTCTATTTTTATTGGTTCTTTTTTCCCCCGGGTTCTGAGAAGTCAAATAACCAAAGAATTACAAATCACATTATGGGTCAATAAGCTCTGGCACATCACCCTTTTTTTTTTTTTTGAGGAAGATTGGCTCTGAGCTAACATCTGTTGCTGATATTCCTCCTTTTTTTTCCTTTTTTCTCCCCAAAGCCCCAGTAGATAGTTGTATGTCATAATTATATATCCTTCTAGTTGTTCTATGTGGGACGCTGCCTCAGCATGGCTTGATGAGTGGTGCATAGGTCCATGCCCAGGATCTGAACCGGCGAACACCAGGCCGACAAAGTGGAGCACACAAACTTAACCACAATGCCACTGGGCCAGCCCCACACTTTTTTCTTATTTAATAATTTTCAGGTATTCCTGGTTCCAGATAATTGAACACCTGATGAGAATTTGGACTAAAAGTCACACACTGTTAATAAACGTCAGAGAAAAGATCTGTGAAAAATGGGATTAGCTGTTATTCAACACAATTTTTCTAGTGAGAAGTGGATTATTCCTGCAAGAAAGTAATACTATTTAGTCTAGAAAAGACTCTTTTAATGTTGGCTTCTATTGTAAAATGGCCTTTTCTAACTTCAAAGTAGAAAGAATAAACAAGAAAGAGTAAACAGGTTTACATGTAAGAGAATTATGTTAGGTCATAGGGAATATTTTTCTGAAAGTAGAGTTGTTACACATTAGATAGATGCATTAGTGTTGTGAGATGAAAGTTCTAATCTGTCCTAAATGCAAAAATATAAAGTCTTTTCAAGTCTCTCACTCTTGAAGCTCTATGTTACATTTTTAAAAAGAAAAATAATTATGAAAGTTCTATTTGTGGAACAAATGATAGTTATGACCTCACTTTGATCTTAAGATGGATATCTAGCTTTTATACATTGGAAACAAACAAAACTACAAACAACCTTGTTTTTACAATCAATTCTTTGTGACTAGAGAATACTCTGTGGAATTAAAGCAGGATGTATGCTTCAGGGCACTGCTATGCCATGCTTGCCTCACAATTCTGCTTTGTTTCACTTATATATCTAGAAGCTTACATACAGCTTAATAAGTATTACAAACTTTAAAAAAGCATTAGGGAACATTAGCAACAAGCTTTCTTGGCATACCAATAGTAGTGCCCTGAGAATGGCCTACATAAAATATTTCCTCTTGTCCAGTTTGCTTCACAATGAAATCAATGGAGGCTGGAAGGTCGTATTTAGCCATCTCGTCAAAACTGCAAAAGAAAAAGGAAAATAAAAATGCTCTTTCTACTAATGTTATGTTAACATTTGAAGAGAATAAATAGATAAACGAATACAGGCAATTTTCAACTTTCTTTGGGTATTATCAAGAAGTTATGTGGAATAATGTACTTACTTAATACAGACTTCTTTGGGAACACAAAGTTAAGGAAATAAAATAGCCACAAGGCAGTCTTATAAAGACGGTGTTTGTACATTCTAAGTACAGAGAGGTAGACTAAATACATGGGTTACACAGTGAAAGAGGAATTAAAGCCACAGTGGAGTTAGTCAATAAAGGTTACTGCTGAAAAATGAGAAACAAGCTGAAAATCAAACAAGCACTCTTGAACGTCCAAGACAAAATGTACATAAATTTTGATGGCTTATTGAAAGCCCTGAGTTGAGAAAAGAGACATATTTTATTCCATTTCATTCAAAAAGAAAATAATGTCCAATAGACTTAAAATAAAATGAAACATTACTGGATTTTTTTGTACCTGAAAGCCCAGAATTCTTTGGAATTTGTTTTTAGGTACAAGTGTTTTCTGGACCAGGTAGTCCCTCTGCTGTTCCCCATCCACACATCATAACCAGCATCTGCCAAAATGAAGCCCAGGCTGTTGTTAGGAAGATTGGAAATCCAGCTGCTGGCAGATGTCAGCAAACCATGTTGCAAGTACACAACAAGCCTGTGAGCTGGAAGAAAATGCAGAAAATTTCTTTTTTAGTTTCGTAGTATCTACAGGAAAATCTCATCTGAAATTCAATCTTTTAAACATGACGGTTTGAAGATTTTAAAAAATTGTATAAATAGGGTAAGTTACTGATATTTAATCCCATTGTACATCAAGAGTTGTTAACACAGGTCACTGATAGATTTCTTTCAAATGACCAAGTGGACAATTAGGTCATGACCCACTTAAATATATAAACTTTCTTATTCAAATATCTAATATTAATTTGGGCACTCAGGTACATTTTAAATAACATTATATTTTATATGATTTTCCCACTTTTTCATTTCATAAAATAATTATATAATCACATTTTTCACAGATATAATCTTTGTCAGTGTCATCATCAGAACTACTGTTTTAGTCACCTAACAGAGTTCCCAGAGCCCTAATCTATACTCCCATGGTTTTTGAGAAAAAAACCTTTTGAATAACATAAAGTGTGCTCACTAGTAACTTCGTTTTAAGTCCCAAGTTGCCATTCATACATAATCCACATCATTATCATCTACTGTAATGATGCTGTTGGTACCCTGCATAGACACCAGTAACTAGGCTGGTGCTCCTATTCTCTCCTGTTGTGTTAGCTGCTAACTGTACATAGCTGCCCCTTCTGAGAAGAAGCACTCTTGGCATTGTTGGCTAAATGGGATCTTCCACACTGGGGGAGGAGGAAGACAACCTATACTTTGACCAATTGACACAAAGGTACAAAAGGCTGACTCCCTTGCTTCAAGGTGGGACCAACTCTGATGTACTTCATGTTTTATATCTCCCTAAGGGACCAGGCTGAAACTAGACTCCACTTGAGACCACATCTCTTTTCTTGACTCCTTCCTCTGCTCAATTCTCCTTCTCCCATTACTTTTCTCCTGAGATTCCCTCAATAAATCATGTGCACTCAAATCCCTGTCACAGGCCAAGTAACAAGTTCTAGGGAACTTGACCTAAGAGTTACTACTAAAAGTGATCAATGAAGCAGACTTTTAAGGATGGGATTATGGAGTTGGATTACTTGCTAGTTGGCTGGCAATGAAGGTCACATTGTTGGTTGTAGGTGTAGTATTGCAAAAGCCTTGAATGTTGTAGCACTCCAATGGCTAAAATATTCATGTTTCCTGTGATGCTATAGGAAAGGGATGACCAATTTGTACAGTATCTCTGACAGTTAAGAGGTACAGAGAAAATATAATTATAAGGTCTGGGAAATAGGGTAGCCATCACTGAGTACCAATGTTTTGAAGAGAGAAATCAACAGGCTCAGGGAAAATTAATCACCAATTCAAAGCAAAGTATGAAAGCCATTAGACTTCTTTGGCAGCATCTAAACACTCTTTTCTCCTATAGCCAGAGGGCAAACTGAGGTGAAAATCATGGTCAGGACCTAATTGTAAGAATAGTAGAATTTCAGGAAGGTTAAATTCTCAGAACTGGGAAGAAATCATGCCTTTTGAGGGCCTTGATAGGGAAGTAGGACCCTGAGACTTAAGATGAGGATATCTGGGTAGAAGAATTTCAGAACCTTGAAACCCAGATTTCTCTGAACTCATTGGGACTACAGAAGTGACCCACTCCTCTTTGTTAGAGGATAATGGCCCTCTGACTTAGATATCTTTCAAGACAAGGCTTCTCCTCCTCATGATCCACCCCAATCCTTTCCTGGCTACCGGTTTCAGTCGGTAACTATGGTTAAATTCTAGCATGACTTGACTGAGGAAGTGTTGGGCCTGCTGAGGGAAAGGAGAGATTATATACTAAAGGAGCTACAAAATATGGCTAATATGTACATGACAGCAGGAACTGGGAGAGTATGCCTGGGATAGATCCTGAGGGTGTTGGATCAAAGGGGGATATATGCATATACACAGGCCTGGATAATGGAGAATTTGTTCATATGGGAGTACATTCCTATGACACAGAGTTTAACACACTGGCAATTGTTCTGGAGGTCAGTCCTGACATTCTGCTATTTCTTGGAAGCTTAGAAAATTCCAGAATTGCAATAGCAGATTGTGGAGGAAAGGATAAAAGGGCTTAGATGTAGGCATGCTAAATCTATTAAATAAGACCAGAATACCAAGCAACTGACTAATACGCGTTGGGAGGGCTTGGAGGATATTCCATTTACCATGTTGAAAAAAATACACCAGTGAGGACACCAGAAAAATTTAAAAACTCAGAAGTGGAGAATTTCCACTACCATTTTGGGATATATAGTAAACCAGAAGAAGTATTGCTCCATTCTCACAATGATCTAAGTTCAAATTCATGACTTTTTAAAAACTCATCAGAAAGCTGATGTCACAGATCAAAAATCTGGCCCCAAATCTGAGGAGAGACAGGTGCTTGCAAGAAGAGAGGAAACACAATCAGAATAGTTCAGGTAGAATAATTGAAGAATTAGCGAAGGCCAGGTATCGGCTCCAAGGACAGTGTGAAGCCTCTGAGTGCAATAGAAACTGGGAAAGTCCGTAGTCATCTGCAAACTCTTTCCCAGGAACCCAAAACAAACCTCACAGAAAAGATTGGAAAGAGTTTTATGAAAGTGTCCGTTGGGATGCATACCTGTGAAACGGAACCGCAGCCATGCAGGAGGGGCAAGAAACTCTCCTCTGATTCTTTCCCCATCTTCCCTCCAGAACAATACTCAATCTGTGTGCATGAAGGGGAAGGGAGTAGGAAAGTCAACAAACACTACACAGAGTACACTAACCAACCAAGTGCAGAGGATGACTCAACCAACAGATGTCAGCAAGGCACTGTTTTTAGCTACCCCAGTGCTTGTGCAGTGGGCTCACAAAAGCAGTAGCCATGGTGGCAGAGATGTAGGTTAAACACTGGTCCACCATTATGGGTACCTTCACCACAGTAGATCTGGCTACTACCAGGGTAATATGTCTGACCTGCCAACAAAAGAGATCTCCTCTGGTACCATCCCTCAAGAAGACCAAACCAGCCACTTGAAGACATACTGGGTACATTAGACCCTTTTTCTCCTAGGAGGGGCAATAATTCGTTATGAGTAGGATTGATACACATTTCTGCTATGGTTTGCCTTTCCTTCCCAATAGGACCACAGTCAGCACCACTACTCAAGAGTTCACAGAGTGTCTGATCTACCAACATGGGACCCCTCATAAAATTACCTTAAATCAAGGGACCCACTTCAGGTCAAAGAAAGTGCATCCATTGGCATATGGCCGTGGTATCTACATCCTACTACATAACTACCATCATGAGTCTGCTAGCCTGATAGAGCAATGAAACAACACCTTGAAGGCTCAATGGAGATGCCAGCTGGAAGATGATATCCTGTAAGTATGGATGCTATCCTTCAAGATTCATTATATATCTTAAACAATTGGCCATAATATATTGCTGATTCCTCCAATTACTAGAATATAAGGGTCTGAAAAAAAAAGGGATAGGATTAGGAGTGGCCCCACTCACTATCACTCCCAGTAACTCACTCAGGGATTTGTGCCTTCCATCCTCACAATTCTAGGCTCTATAGATCTAGAGGCCCTTGTTCTCAGAGAGAAAACGCTTCCACCAGGGCACACAGTAAACCTCCCAATAAACTTAAAGCTATGAGTGCTGCCTTGTATATTTTGGGATCCTCATGTTAGAAGGCAGGGAGGCAAAGAAAGGCATTACTATATAGGCAGGAGTAATTGGCTTTGATCATTATGAGGAGGTAGGACTGCTGATACAGGGAATGACAACAGGGAAAATATATTTGGTATTCAGATGATCCACAGGGACATCTTTTGTTACTTCTATGCCCTATTTTAACTCTAAATGTACAAGTACAGCAGCTATGACCTGATATGGACATAGTAGTCCTTAAGGATGTGGTAAGGGTTTGGCTTACCACATTAGGCAAGCTAACTGAGAGGGAGGGGAATATACTATGGGTGGTGGAGGCAGGAATTTATGAGTATCAGTTACAGTGTAGGATCAGCTGCAAAAGTAGACGTTGTAATTTGCTCCACTAATCTTCCTCTGACCTACAAGAATCCTGGAAAAGCTGTACCTGAATGAAATAAACTTAATGTGAAAGACAAGTGGATTTGAGTAGTGCAAGGGGTGTACTCTATTGGATTATTTTGGTGCTGCATCCAGATTTCCTTTACTAAGCAGATGGACAATTCTCTCAGCTGCTGTGAGTGTTGCTTTTGAAGAGTTCTCTATCGTCCCTTTGTCAGTAGAATTGCCCCCAGCCAAATGAGAATTGCTTTACCCGGGAGATTAAACTTCTTTCTAAGGGTAGGTTTAGGGCAATGACTGACTGAAATGGGAATGCAAAAAACTAGCTCTCTAATTTCAGGGTGGGACCTCCTCTGTGGTGCAGTTCATGATTCAGGATTCCTAAGCTCCTCTGAGATCATATTGCAGCTGAGTCCTTCCTTAGCTCCTTCTCCTGCCCTATCCTGATTTCCATATTACTTTCTCCTGACAGTAGTCCATCAATAGATCACATATACCTTGTGGGGGATCAGAATTGGCCACCGCAAAGTGTGTCTCTTTGGCATGAGGAATATTTTGGGTTGGTTACTTTTAAAAACTGCAGACATGGGAGAAGCTCTGAAAAGTAGAAGTTACCCTTTGTAAGAGACATTTACATTTGTAAGGAAAATCTCCATTTGTAAAGGTATCTCTCTCTCTGTACCAGGAAGAAGAGGGGATGACCTTATCTCTAGAAACTCTTATTAAAGTGGAAAGCAAGGACTTAAATCTGCATAGTAACTTTACTCTTGTTTACTGTGCTCTTCTGGTAATCTCCCATAACTAACTCCTCCCACCTCCAATATCCTCCTTTGTCTTTAGCTGAAATGGTATTTAAGATGAGAACTCCTGCCATTTTGGTAAGTTACCCAATTTTTCCTGGGTCTCTCCCATGTATACATGTTATAAAGCTTTGTTTGATTTTCTCCTGTTATTTTGCCTCATGTCAATTTGATTTGTACCCCAGCCAGAAGGACCCAGAGAGGGTAGAGGATAGGTCTTCCTCCTCTATAACCTGAGTCCCTGTTTTGGGCTATGTTTCTAGAGAACTCTAAGGCACATGTATTTTAAAATTATCTTAAAATCTTTTACAGTATTTGCAAAATTATGTCATACCCTGAGGAATGATTATTATAATTATGGTAAATCTATGTTAACATTTTCTGCCTGGTAGATGTGACCTTTCTAAGGATCCAAAATTACATTGATTGAGATTGTTTCAAATTAATGTGTCTTCTCTGAAGTGTACTTTAATGTTCAAAATAAGAACATGAGAGGGCGTCCTATAATATGAGAAACATTCTTTTTAGGGAGAAAAATCTAAGGAGAAAAGAAAAAAAAGAACCCTTGCTTTTATTTGGGCAATTAGATGAATAAGCAAAAGTAATTTGTTACATATTCTGCTAGTAAGTGGCAGATCTAGGATTATAACTCTAGTGACAAATTCTAGTGCATTTTGCACCCCACCCTGCTGATACTAGTGTACCTATTGTTGGAATAAAGAGCCATGAGGCTGCTACCAACCTGATGTCTTTGCAATTCCTAGAGAAGAAAGACATAAGGACAAGCAAGGAAATTTTTAAGAATGAAGAATGAAGCCATTTTGAAGAAGGCAGGCATTCTTCAAACCTACAGGATAACGTAACTGTGTTTTGAAGCATTTCTAAACCCCTAATTAAGCAAAGAAAACTCTAGAGAATCAACATATATGAGCAAAGTGATCCACAAAGAAAACCTGGGAGGAACACCTTATGTTCCACCACACTTTAACACTAAGCTGTGAAGAGGAAGCTAGTGGAGAATTAGACTTTCTTCTTGAGGCATGTGGAGAGACATATGAGAAATAAACTTAATCTTCAAATCCTCTTCTTGTCTTAAACTCACTGAGAAGAAATGGAAAAGTTAAGAACATCAGGCCCCAGACAGTCACCAATTAATCTTGAATTGACAATTACCTGAATTGTTATCATTGTTTGTCTTCCCATAAGGAATTCTATAAAGGCCAAGGATATAACCATCTTCAGTGACAACATCATACTCTTCATCTGGGTAGCCCCAGTAGGAAATAATTTGACTCTATATAAAGAAAAAGCAAACCTTTTAGAATAAGATTGTTGGTCAATTAAGTTGAGTTGTTCATCATTTCTAACCTATTATGTAAAAATGAACTTTTATATTCTCTTTCAACCTCAGGCCTATTTTTATTTTCACTAATTTACTGATTCATTCAGTAATAAATATTTATAGAATACCTACTAAGCATCAGTCTTATACACTAGGGATTCACAGATAAAGAAAACAAAAAATAAAACCCCTGCACTCAAGGAGAGATCTCAAGAACTAACCTATTAATTTTTTCTCACTACTAATCACTCATACTTTTACCTACTCACCCAAATACAATTTTAAAATATATGTGTGTCTATAAATTTTTGCAGGTCTATGCATATAGCCAAACTTATATCTGAAATTTGTACATATATGAGTGTATACAAGAAAGAATTTATAAATGAAGGTATGGATATATTTATACATATATTTTCATCACAGATATGGAATAAGGCTGAAGGGGAAAACTGTGAATTATAGAATAGTAGTTGGGGAATATTAGTTGACCCATATCAAAACGTATGAACGCAGAGATACAAATTTGACTATAGATATGTTAAAGTAAAAACCCCCAGGGGCTAGCCTCATGGTGTAGTGGTTAAGTTTGGCGCATTCTGCTTCAGTGGCCTGGGTTCCTGGGTTTGGATCCCGGGCATGGACCTACACCACTCATCAGCCACACTGTGGTGGTGACCCACATATAAAGTAGAGGGAGATTGGCACAGATGTTAGCTCAGGGTTAATCTTCCTCAGCAAAAATAAATAAACAAATAAAAACTACCCAAATTGAAGAGTAGCATTCCTTGTTATTTCAGCAACTTAGCATTTATTTCCTAGCAACTTACAATATTCATATTTGCTTCAGGGTTCACAGATCTTCGGTATTGAAAAGCACCATGAGTAGTTCCAAGAATTAGGATGAAAGACATCACCTTGAAAAGGCACCACATTCGGGATCTACCTATAAAAGGGGGATTTAATACCATCAAAATTGGAGCAAGTAGTACCATTTGACTGTTTAAATAATTCTGTGAGGTAGGGAATATTACCATCTTCAGATGAGAAACCTGATTCCCTGAAAAATTAAATAACTTGTCTAAGGATACACAATGTATAATTGGTGTCAGGATTCAGATTCAAGCCTGCTTCATTCCAAAGTCTGTGCTTTTCCAGCTACCCTAATTTATGGCACAAATTCCATGTGTGAAGTCTCTGTGATAGTAATATTTAGCCCAACTCTGAGAGCTTTATCATATATTGCAAGTTAATTGATATCTGAATTAAAGATGTAATAACATTCTTACCAGACTAACATTTATGTGAAGTATGTTTAAAGGTTGTTGGGGTTTGGGGAGGGAAGGGGTACAGGTGGGAGATTAGGAAGTTTGGATAACTTAACTTTCATTCAGCCTCTTGGGGTCTGGATTTTATTTTGTTTACAGAAATATGAGTTTGAGTATTCTAAATTCTGGGAAGGCAGGACACTTAAGTTCTTTCTAGAAGTGTAAGAAACTGGGGAACCATAGAGGTCGCCACCCAGATTCTCCCTCAAAAAGCATGACTTACAGATTTCATGAGCCTTGTACAATAAGCCAGACACTATACCTAGAAGGACATTATGCATAGTTTATAAGACTCCCAGCTCCACCCCTCACAAGCTCCGTGACTTAAAGCAGATTACTTAACCCCTCTGAGCATCAGTTTCCCTATCTATAAAATATGAATAATACCTACTTCTCAGGGTTGTTATAAAACTTAAATTTGACTAATGGATATGAGGCTTTATTAGTGTAATAACAGTTACATAGCTAACATGTAATATATATGAGTCCTCCTTGCTTAAGAGAACAAACTAGCAATTTAGGAAAATAATTAACATGAAAATAATTGGTATGTCTTTCTTAAATATTTGTTAGGCTAGTCTTTAGTACAATACTTTATTTTTTGTTTGTTTGTTTGTTTTTTTGTTGTTTTTTTTTTTTTAGCTTATTTGTTTATTGCAGTAACATTGGTTTATAACATTGCAAAAATTTCAGGTGTACATCATTGTACTTCTATTTCTGCATGGACTACATCATGTTCACCACCAAAATACTAATTACAAC